CACACACACACCCATGCACTCAAACAAACAAAAATTCTTAATGACCAAGGACAAATATTAATAAAAGGACAATGTTTAGACCCAAGCGCAAGCACTACCCCAACAACATTCAAACATTCACGCCAACAACAACAACAACATCAACAGCACAACCACCACCACCAACAACAACACCACCAACAACACCAACAACAACAACATTAATTCTAATGTTACACTCATAAACAAACCATGCCTGCATTAATGTTTGAACAGATCGTGTGCTTAAACATTTCGCATATTCTTAACAGACCATACAAATGAAATAGATTATACAATCAATGGTAGCATGGACAGAGATCTATTGCAGAGTATGAACAATTTTGAAAAACTTTGACGTCATTATTTTATATCCAACCTCAATTTCTACAGTTAATTTAACGTACGAATCAGTTATTTTTTTGTATTAAGTACAAAACAAAAACAGGCATAAACACAAGCAGACATAAACACAAGCAGACATAAACACAAACAGACATAAACACATATAGACAGACATATAGACAAGCATTGCTAACATCACATCTAACCAAACCCACCGTAACGTCCGTAACGTCAAGTTAAACTCCGATAACCATTCTGCGGCCTCCTCGCTTGCTAGCGTAAAAACAATTCCAACATTTAAAAAGAGTGCCATACTGCAGTTTGCCGCGGGTCAAACGTGTGTGTTTGTGCGCGCGCGCGTGTTCGTGTGCATGTTTTGTGTGTGTGTGTATGTGTGTGTGTAGTAGTAGTAGTAGTAATAGAAGTAGTAGTAGTAGTAGTAGTAATAGTAGTAGTAGTAGTAGTAGTAGTAGTAGTAGTAGTAGTAGTAGTAGTAGTAGTAGTAGTAGTAGTAGTAGTAGTAGTAGTAGTAGTAGTAGTAGTAGTAGTAGTAGTAGTAGTAGTAGTAGTAGTAATAAAAATAGTGGTGGTAGCAGCAAAAATAGGAAAATGATGACGGTGATGGTCAGAAGTGATGAAATAAATACAGAAAAAAAGATGCTACTGATCAAAAGCCAGATTAAATAAAGCTCTGCAGTGATGATGATGACGATGATGATGATGATTGGATGATGACTGCGATGGTGATGATAACGATATTAAGAAAGATGGCGAATTATCAGTTAATGTTAATATGAGAAGAATATTAAATCTTATGACGATGATGATAAAATTGATGATGACCTTACAGCAGATGTAAATACAATGTTCATATCAATAGCGCTGATGATGATGACGAGGACGACGATGATGACGTTGATGATGATGACGATGATGACATGAACGCCGGCGATGATGATAACGATGATGACGTCATCTTAAATTTGATAATACCGACAAAATTCATAGCGTGATATCCTTTCATTCATAGGTACGCGCGTGTGTCGGGTGGCATGGAATTTTCTTTGATCATCTTTTTTTCTTCTATTTTCACTCACCATCATCATCATCTTCATCATCGTCATTATCATCATTACCATCATCGTCATCATCATCATTACCATCATCGTCATCATCATCGTCGCCATCATCATCATTCTCTGCCGCATCATTTTTTGTTGGTATCGTCTCATAAATACATGAAATATAACAACACAATAGTAAATTTTTTAAACATAAATGATAACATATTAAACATAATCATGATGATAATAATAATTATAAAAATAATAACAACAACAACAATAATAATAATAACAATAGATAAATGGGGTAATGATGATGATGGTTATTACAGTGACGATGACGATGACGACGACGATGATGATGACACGATTATGATAATGATCGTAGGCATGGTGACAGTCTGATGATCGCCCTGTTGTCTACAGCCATGGACATGAAAGGCCGTGCAGAGATTCAAAGGCGTGTAATATTTTCTTTGGGGTTCTCACTCTCTTTTTTCACTATCTTTTTCTCTCTTTTTCTCTTTCTTCCTCTCTCTCTCTCTCTCTCTCTCTCTCTCCCTCTTCTCCCTCATTCTCTTTTTCTACTTTTCACCTTTTTAAAAAGTTTTATTTTCTCTCTCTCTCTCTCTTTCTCTCTCTCTCTCTGGCTTGATTGTTTCTTTTTTCATTTCTGTTTTTCCATTCAGTTTTTTACCTGTCTGTCTGACTTTGTCTGTCTGTCCGTCTGACTGTCTGTCTGTCTGTCAATGTTTGTCTAAAAAAGCTCGTCTAACTCGTGGATAAATTGATTAAGCATATTGTATATTTGTTTGTTTGTTTGTGTGTATGTGTGTGTGTGTATGTAGCTATACATACGTGTGATTAGTGTATGTATGTATGTATGGATATATATATTGGAGGATTGATATAAGGTTAGAGAGAGAAAGAGAAAGAGAGACAGACTATAGAAAATTGTAAAGTATCACGTATTGGTCAATTGCATGAATTCAATTTTGAGGAATAAACTTCAATTTTAACCTTCTGACATTGGACAAACAGAGCGAAGAAAATTTATTCAATTTAACCATCATGCCAGTAGTGTAAAAATGTTATTCATTTATTTATCTTCTGTGTATCGTAGATCGAGTCTTCTGATTGAACATTCATGTTATAACTGTATGATACAAATCTTTTTGTGATTGACAGAGAAACAGAAAGAATGAGAGAGAGAGAAAGAAAGAGAGAGAGAGAGAGAGAGAAGAAAAAATGAAAAATATGATAATTAAATGAAAATTTTTTTTAATTAAGTTTGTTTGAAAAATGAAATTCATTTTTTCAACTTTTCAAAAGAGCTGCATAACAAATAATATCCCATACAAACTAACAACTTAATTATATACAATACAATTTATTCACTAATAATAAGACAAATGAAACAATTAACTGAATAAATAGAAACAAATAAGTAGCAATTAATTATATTATGGAAACTTATTCTCGGCCCAGAGAATCTCGAGTGTTCAGACTCCATGGTTCCACGTCGAGTCCCTGATTAACAAATATTAGGAATAATAATAATACGAAGAAAAAAGAAAATGCTACTGCTACTACTACCACTGCTACTACTACTACTACTACTACTGCTGCTGCTACTACTACTGCTACAGCTGTGGTTGCTGCTGCTGCTGTTGTTACTACTACTCCTAATACTAGAACTACCGCAATGAAATCATCATTGCAGCAACAACAAAGACACCATATTTTAAAACAACAATGTCTAACCAACAACACTAGAAATATTTTTTAAACAACCTACAACAACTAGGCACTATTTGCAGCAGCAGAAGCAGCAGCAACAGCAACAGCAACAGCAGCAGTTCAACAGCGCTGTTACCATGGCGACCAACTCGTCAACTTTTTTTTTCTCTCCAATCAGACTTCACGTCAGAAGGATGCGTGGAAACAATACAAAACTGAGGAAAAACATATTAACCATTGTTTGCGGCTTTCTGCTATGTGATATGTAATGCCTGCGTGTATGAGTGTGTGTGTGTTTGTATGTGTGTGTGTGTGCGCTTTTGTGTGTGTATATATGTGTGTATGTGTTTGTGCGTGACAAGGACAATGCATGTGAGTGCGTGTATAGTATATGGGTATCTGCGCTATATAAATGTTCATTTTCATAAATTAATCAATGGATTTGTAAGATTCATTTATTGTTATTTCTAGATTATTTAATTTGCATATTTTCAATGTTATTGTATTTATGGCATATATTTATGACATCTAACAAACACACAGCATGTCTTACGCTGAGCATAAACGTTCAGCGTTTCTGTTTTACTGTCTAATGAAAATGAATTTGCGTCTCATTTTTAACTCTTCATCAACAAAACACACGTACACACACACGTGTACACATTCACAAACACACACACACAAACAAACAAACACACATACTAAAATAATTACATTAACAACAATATATACATTGACACATGCACTTTCACAATGATATATACACATCAGATACAAAAACCATCGCCTACCTACCAAGATACATACAAACACACACACACACACATTTGACATACACACATTCACTCGAACAGACATTCGCACGCACATAAGCGCAAACCCAAGGAAAGGCATGCAATTTATTATTTAAATATTCACATGACCTTTTATTACTTGAAGCTTTATTGCATGGACAAACATAGGCACATACGTACAACCACAATACGCGAAAACATGCGTATACACACGCAATATGATTGGGTATTAGGTAATTGTATGTTTTGGATGCGCGTGTGTATATGCTTATATGTATGCATGTGCGTGTATGTATATATGAATGTATGTATAAGTATCTCCAAGTAATTTATTATTGTGATATTTTGCTGAATAAAAGATTGTTTCAATTCAATTAAATTAAATTCAATGTATGTATGTATGTATGTATGTATGTATGTATGTATGAGTATGTATGTGTGTGTGCGTGTAGAAATCTTAAGATTAGAACAAAACATAAGTTGTTAATTAGAGATGATTACCTTTAAAGATACCATAGCAATTCGAATTTTCAATATTCTTTTCGCCAGTGTAAGCGTATAACTATTATATTTCATTTCCGTTAACGATTTTGGGATATTTTTATACATTTTTCTTTCACCTGATTTTTTTTTTTTCTTGCACAATTTTGTTTTTGTTCACTAGTCTGTTTCTATTTATTTTTTCTTATATATACACTTTTTGTATCTTGTCTCAAAAATTAATTTCAGAATTAAAAGGAAAAGTCCAGTTGAGGGTGTATGATGTTTAAAATGGCCTGCTTGAAATTGAATAAATTGTAGGGCGGCACTGATTCATAAACATTATCAACAACAACAACAACAATACCTACAACATTAACAACAACATCAACAACAACAACAACACAAACAACAACATCAACAACACAACAACAACACAAACAACAGCATCAACAACACAAGAACAACGACATCATCACATCCATCAACACCGAAACAAAAAAAATAATTTCAGCAACCAAAATAGATATGCTATGTAATATAAATTATCGCTTACTCAATGACCGATCATCATTCAAAATGCCAACCTGAAGCTTATACACTGAGGGTATGTTACATACATTCATAATACACACACACACAACACACACACACACAAACATACAAACATAAACATACATACATACACACACAAATACCCACACATACATACAAATACCTACATGTACATACCTACATATATGCGTACAAATCTAGAAACCAACAACAATACAAACATTACAACAAAACAACACAGACGCACATACAAAAAACATACACACATAAAAAAATATACACAAACAGACAAATATAAAAGTATATACAAACATACACACAAACACATACAATAACACATAAAAAACCAAATATTACATAATGCACAGAAGCCAATATATTGTTTCATCTGTAAATATATACAACAAACGAAAGATGTGATTATGTGTGTGTGTGTGTGTATGTGTGTGTGTGTGTGTGTGTGTGTGTGTGCTCTTCTGCAAGTAGACGGTTGTTTTATTGGGTAAATACGAGTGTGTTTGTATATGTGTGTTTGTGTGCGCGTGCGTGTGTGTGTGTGGTGCGTATGTGTGGTGTGTGTGTCGTGCGTGTGTGTGTGTGTGTGTGGTGTATGAGTTTTTTTTAAAGTGTTTAATCATTATCTCAAATTTTCAAACCTCAATTTTTATGAGAAAAAAAAACACAAACATACGAGCGTCTCCCGCCAATCAAAATAAAGTCTTTTGTTTGTTTTTTTTTTGTTTGTTTGTTTTTTTTTCGCAGTTTGCTTTCTTGCTCTGACTTGGTAATTTGCATGTTAATAATGACGTAATTTATAACGGCAACATCCAAATGACGTTGACAAAGACCGTGACACGTGACTGAACTTAATTTGCTCGTGGGAGGGAGAGATTGAGAGAAAGAAAGAGAGAGAGAAAGAGTAAATGAAAGAGAGAAATTGGGAAAATGAACAAGTAAATAAAAGAGAGAGTAAAAAGAAGAAAAAGAAAGAGAAGAGAAAAAACTGAGTAAACAACTGCTAGCGTTGCTGACGTCATTAATCCGATGTCACTTTTACTGGATGGACGGATGGATGGCTAGGTGGATGGATGGATGATGAATAGTCGGATGGATAGGTGGGTGGATGGATAGGTGGATGGATGGATGATGGATAGATAGGTGGGTGGATGGATAGATAGATGGATGGATGATGGATAGATGGATGGATGTATGGATAGGTGGATGGACGTATGGATAGGTGGATGGACGTACGGATGGATGAATAAACTGATTGTTGGATTGATGGGCGTGTAATAAAAACAAAAATTTGATAACTAACTTGACCTGCTATAAAAATTTCACTAATCTCACAATTAGTTTCTTTAATTTTTTTTCAAAGGAAGCCATTTTAGACTGGGAGCCTAGCTAAATAAATAAATGCTGCTGTTGAATGTTATTTGTGATGGATGGAGAAAGAACTTCTCACGAGTCTCCGTCACTGATGCATCCATCTACTCTCGCTTGCTTCCAATTTTTTTTTAAACTTTAAGCTAAAAAACTAAAATTGATAGAAGTCGCAAAATATGAGTTTTTACATTTAATTTAAGTTAATTTTTAATTTATTTTACGAAAAAAGGTGAGAAATTGTTCGTCTGAAAATATGTATATACCTATCATACGTACATTTTATTGATCACACGTAGGCTTCATACAAAGGACGTCTCGATAATTTTAGCATTTCAGCAATCAAGCCAGACCAAAGCGTCATTGTTACTCTCTGCGTTGGCACCCTGGTAACTTCATAGCAACAACACACATAACGTTATTGCAACAATTTTTTTTTAGAAAAAACACTTTGCAAAATGGGGATGGTCTATTCTTTTGATGATAACATCCTGATTTATGTTACTCTTATTTCAACACATATCCATTTGTTACTTGACACTAGCAAGATTGTAACACTCCTAGCAGAGTTACAGCAACAACACTGGAGTCTGTAGTACTACGACAACTAAAATACTTCAAATTATTATTTTCCACGTTCCACTTATGAAATATTTGCTCGCAAACTTTTCCGTCAACCTTAATAATCCGAAATGACATTTCGGATGGCCGGGAGAGAATAAAATAGCAGCGTGACCTAGGACTGTGAGGTTATCAGAAGACAAATTTTTTGCTAATAAAATGTGATTTGTTTGTACAACAAGTGCTGGCAAATATGTGTGTACGTTGTATATGTGTGTACGCTGTATATGTGTGTACGTTGTATATGTGTGTACGCTTTATATGTTTGTACGTTGTATAAGTGTGTACGTTGTATATGTGTGTACGTTGTATATGTGTATCTTTTGTATGTGTGTATCATGTATATGCATGCATGACTGGAGAATTATAGTTCCGTGTCTAAAGATGTCTGGTTCGATTCCTGGCTCCGTCCGTCAGTTGAAGATGTATCTCTAAGTATTCGATACGATACGATACAATCTGATACGATACAATCCGATCCGATACAACACGATACGATACGATACGATACATCACATGTAGATGGAAGGTTGGATGTGTTGGTTTGCAAGCGGCCGAGAATGTTGTTTGAAGTTGCTTTTGTTGGTTTTTCTTCGGAATTTTATTTTTGTAAAAACATTTTTAAAAATGATACGCTTATTATTTGCATAATTTTATTATTTTTTTTTTCTTCATAAATTTAACTTTACAAAGTTTCAGTGTTATTTTTACTAAACAAACACGAGCGGATATTTACTCAACTATACAGCACACATATACAAAGACAAACTCACACATTCACACACACAAACACACACACACGCGTATACAACACACGCACATACACATTTATACACACATACATACACACAAACAAATACACAAACAAACGTATTCATATATACACACACATGCACATAAATTTTTTCAGCAAACATAAACACACAGACACAAACACACACACACACACCTAGACACACACACAGACACACAGGCTGAGACATGGGAATACCGAAACACTGTTTATTCCTTAGGAGGTAATATTTTTTTCAACATTTGAATAATAAGAGAAATATCTATTTAACGCGGGCGTATCGACCTGTTGCTGTATTTGTTTGCTTTGTTAATTATGTATGTTGTTGTTGTTAATGTTGTTGTTGATGTTGTTGCTGATGATATTTTTTGTAAGAGTTGTTGTTGTTATTAATGTAGTTGTGGTTGTTGTTGTTGTTGTTGTAGATGTTAAAGTTGTTGTTGTTGTTGTTGATGATGCTAAAGTTGTTGTTTCGGTTTTGTTGGTGTTACAAGAGTTGAAATAGAATAATTTTATACACATTTTTATATTTTTGCTTGGGACAATGTTGATTTTAATGTCGTTGTTGTTTGTCGTTGTTGTTGTTGAATTCTAAAGTAAAATTAATTGTGTCGCTGGTGTTGTTTTTATTGTTGATGTAGTTAATGTTGATGGTGATAAATCGTTTCATCAGAGTATTCTTGAAATTGATGTGTTTTTGTGTTTTTGCGTGTGTGTGTTTGTCTGTTTCTTTGTGTGTATGTGTGTGTTGTTTTTTTTGTTTTTGTCAATCTGATGTTAAAGTTTGTGTCTTTGTGTTGACGATGTTAAAAAAATCAGACGACCAACCCAAACAACAAACCAGCCAACAAAACAATAACAATCAGTCATCTAAACAATCAATCAATCAAATATCCAATCATCAATCAATCAATTGGCTAATCAATCAATCAACTAACATATCAACCAACTAAACAAGCAAACAAACATTCCAACCAACCAACCAACAAACCAACCAACAAACCAACCAACCAGCCAACAAACCAACCAACAAATCAACCAACCAACCAACCAACCAACCAATCAACCAACCAACCAACCACAACAACTACTCCATCAACCGCTCAGCTAACCAACCGGAAATAAATTCACGATAACACTCCGCAACGCACCCACATCGGCACAAACTGACACTAAATCCGGTTATTACCCGGATATTTTACTATTCGAATATCGCCCACCGGACCGGTATAAACCGAAAACCGACATGAACAGTCCAACACTTTTCCTTGTTTAGTAGGCTAGCTCCACGTGAGCAATTAAATGATACAATTGAACAACAGAGATCTATAAAGTAGTCATATATGTTTATGTAGGTTCGTGTGTGTGTGTGTGTGCGTGTGTGTGCGTGTGCATGCGTGTGTGTGTGTTTGTAGATTAGAGAGATGGATGATTCTGTAGGAGTCGGTTTCTTTAGTGCAGTTTAATTTCTCCCGTGTAAATATAAACGGAAATGATTGAATTTTAAAAATAAATATAATATTTTATTATTTCGATGAATTATTTGAAGATAATATTATTAAAAATAGTTTAATAAACAGAATGAATAAATAAATTTATAAATTTACGTAAATTTATAGTTTTTGTAATTAACTTTATTGGCTAGTTAGTCATATTAAAACAAGTTCAAGCGTTGTTTGCGTGCTAGAATTAAAAGAACTAAACATCTTAAGTACCAGTACTAGACATCATAAGTACGTTAATACTAAGCATATTAAGTACATTAAAATGTACAGAGTATCGAGTTGATACACTATGGCCTAATACATCATTTGGTCTGCTGGGTTTCGGAATGCTAACTCGATGACTCAATAATTGATGTTAAAAAATGAGATTTATTATCTTTGTATGTAAAAAGTTGAAAAGATTTTCTCGTAAAAATATGAATATATTTTAGATATTTCGAGTTCAATTTTTCTTACTAAAGAAGAAGATAATTTGTATTTGAGCACCTCATCCCAAAACAACATGCCAGGATGTCTTGTAACATTTTGATCACTCACTCACTCACTCACATGATGACGTTGGTGATGACGTTGACGATGATGTGAGTGTGATGATGACTACAATGATGGCCTAACACCCAAACACACACAAATACGTGCGGAGCTAATATTCATTTGTGCAATTTTTTAATTAATGACGCAGTCGAAATACCACAACCATGC